GTGCTTATTTGATTGTGAATAGCATTGGCACGGTCACAGAATTGAATCCACTTTCGTTGGATCTTTTTTTTGTTGTTGCGAATAAAACTGCTAGTCTTTTGTCACTGGACAAATGCAAGGACTCAGTGAACCGGTACGTCGCCGACGTAACAAATCGGAATTCTGATGAAAAAGGGATTTTGTTAACCGCCAAGGGTAACAACCACTTTGTTCTTTTTATTGAGCCAACTTTGGGGGTTTCAGGTGAAGATGCTGCGAAGCAGTTGCGAGCCGTTTACAAAGCGATTTTGTCAGGGGGGCGCTTGCCCTTGCGTGTTGGTTCTGCGGACGGGCTTTTGTTTGTTCTTCACTCCGTAGAGGGAGTGCATCTTCTTAACCAGTCGTCGTACGATGGATTCCCGCTTGTTTTTCTTACCGCGGCTGGTGGGGTGGAACAGGCACCCGCGCAGGAAATGGTGACGCAGAGCGTCAAAGTTTTTTGTGTTGTTATTTTGCCTAGCGTCGTGGGGTTTGTTGTCTTCTCCCTGCAGCGGACGCTGCCGCGGCTCAACCGGCCACGGTTGGGCAAAGACCGGATGAAGAAAGGGAACGGCGCGAGTGGCAGTAGAAGTGCCAAGGCGGACCGCGAGTCGTGCGCTACTGTGCCGAACTGCCAAGACGACAAGTCTCCGTCGCCGCGCATACCGCAGTCGATGGACACCGACATGCAAGTCATCACCATCACGGCAGAGAAAACAACCACTGACCCGTTGTATGACTCTGATGCCGGTGAGGCGCCTACTTCATTAGGCCGCACACCACCGGCGGTGGGCAATAATACTTTTTGCATGTACGAGTGTGGATCGAGGGACGTGGGCAGTGAGAGACGTGGCGATGGGGAAGGGTGAGACTGTTGTCTCAGAGTTTAGCGGGAAACAAACTACTCCATGAAGAAAGGTGAAAAGAACTTGGGGTTACGTATTAGCGTTTTTTTTTTTTTTCTTTGTATGAGCGAATGGGTGTGTGCGTTTTTTATTATTTCTTTTTCGGGGAGCGTATCTGCTTCTCTGTGCATATGCGTATGGAACTTCACAATTAGTTATTAGTGAGTTCTCCTTATTTTACCTTTTATTTTATTTCCATTTTTGCTTTTTATTATTATTTTGACTTTTGTTGTCGTTTGCACGGCGCAGCGCAATACTGGCAACGTGGACACTTTTTGCTTCCTCTCTTTTTTTAATTTATCTGGAAGAAAACGAGAGTAAGCACGTAACTTTTAAAAACATGTCGCGGAACGTTGCTGCCGAGGAGGAATGGGAGGACGTGGACGCCCCCAATGAAGAGGATGAAGAAGAAGAAGACACGACCATCAACAATTCAGATGTGATGATGCGGTACAAAAAGGCAGCCCTGTGGTGCAACGAAACACTGCAGTTGCTGCTTGATGCGACGAAGCCCGGCGCGAAGGTGCATGAGCTCTGCAAGTTGGGTGATGAAACCGTTGCGAAGAAGCTCAAAACAATGTTTAAAGGCACAGAGAAGGGCCTGGCTTTCCCCACGTGTATTTCCGTCAACAGCTGTGTGGCGCATAACAGCCCATCGGCTGACGATGAGGTGGCTTCACAAGAGATTCAGCTTGGGGATGTGGTGCACATTGATCTCGGTATTCATGTTGACGGCTACTGCGCGCAGGTGGCCCATACCGTGCAAGTAACGGAGAATAATGAACTTGCTGCCGATGACGATGCCTCAAAAGTTATATCCGCAACATACGGCATTCTCAACACAGCTATGCGCAAGATGCGCCCCGGGGTCAGTGTATATGAGGTGACAGAAGTAATTGAAAAAGCCGCCGCGCACTACGGTGTGACTCCCGTGGACGGGGTTCTCTCGCACATGCTGAAGCGTTATATTGTTGACAGCTTTCGTTGCGTCCCACAACGGAAGGTAGCTGAGCACCTTGTGCATGACTATACTTTGGAGGCAGGACAGGTGTGGACTCTTGACATCGTCATGAGCTCTGGAAAGGGCAAACTAAAAGAGCGTGATGTCCGACCGACCGTTTACAAAGTAGCACTGGACTCCAATTACACCATGAAGATGGAGTCGGCGCGTGAGCTTCAGCGTGAAATTGAGGCCAAGTACCAGACATTTCCCTTCGCACTGCGGAACCTGGAGACAAAGAGGGCTCGCCTAGGTCTCTCCGAGATGCTAAAGCACGGCGCCGTGGTCCCGTATCCTGTTCTGTACGAACGTGATGGGGAGGTAGTCGGACACTTTAAAATCACGCTGCTGATTACAGCCAAGAAGATCGAGCCAGTGACGGGCCTCAAGCCGCAGAAGGCACCAACGCTGCCGGCCTACACCGACGAGCTGCTGCTGGAGGCAAGTAAGCTGCCGTTGACACTGGAAAAGAAACGAAAGAATTAAGTGACAGCAACGCCCACGTAAGTACATAAAATTGCGCCTGTCATGAGGGATGAAACAGGCAAACAAACAAACAAACAAAAGAGGTGAGAAATGAGAAGGAACGCTAATCAATAAAAGCGAACGACGGCAACGAGGAGTTGGTGTTCTTTCCCCATGTGTGAAGCGGAGGAGGAGGGGGAAGGCACAAGAAGGAAACGGCGGGGAGGAAAAATAAGCCGGGGAGGGGAATAAAGGCGGGAGTTACAACGGCATCGCTGGAGGAAGGGAAAAAAAAAATACTTGAGAAATGAGGGAACACCCTCACGAGAAGTTGTGTGCCACGTAAGAGTGAAGCGAAGTAAACAAATGAATACACTTTTATTTACTTCCCCTCTTAAGTCCCTGCATTCCTTTTGTATTTTCATTTTTAGTTTTGTCATCTGTGAAGATGTCCCTCGCCCCCTTCTTTTTTTTCTTTAAATTCTCCTTGCCTAATCCTTCTCTTCGACGTTTAAATCTGAAATTGCCGCCGTGATTCATATCGAACTCTTCGTTGCGTGCTCGTGTTGTTCCCTCCTCCTTTTGCTTTTTCTTGTTCTTCTGCAGTCCTCTTTTTTCTTAGAGAGTTTGCGCATTTGTCTCTGGGGGAAAGAGAGGGGCGGAGAACGTAGGAAAGCTTCCACCGGTACGACGGTGAAGAAAACAGTGAGAGAAAATAGCAGGATAAAAAAGAAACACACACACAGACGCAGACGAGAGAAAAAGAAAAAGAAAAAATTCAAAACACGAAGCCGAAGCAAAACAAACGAAATAACATAGGGGGCTTAAAAGAAAAACAAAAATACATGAGTGGTGTAGACGTCGAGGAGCTGCGCCAGGTGACACTTGGCAAGAAGCTCGGAGCCGGTAGTTTCGGTTCGGTCTACGCCGGTATCCTTCCCAGTGGACGGTTTGTTGCAGTGAAGGAGTTGGAGCTTGCGGAAGATGCCCCCACTAACACTGAGGTGGAGATTCATAAGAAGCTGGCACATGAAAACATTATTCGATACTTTCACAGCCACGTTGATACCGAAAGCACACCGAAACGATTGTTTGTGTATCTTGAATTTGTCACAGGGGGTTCTGTTACTTCTCTTATGAAAACGCTTCCGAATGGACATCTTCCAGGCTCAGTGGTGCGTGTCTACGCCCGCCACATGTTCTCTGGTTTGGAGTACCTACACAAAAATCAGGTGGCTCACCGTGACATCAAGGGCGATAACCTTCTTATTTCTATGGATACGGGCATAGCAAAACTGGCAGATTTTGACCAGGCAAAAATCATGACGACGCACGGGACCCTGCGCAAGGCGGCCACTGCGACGCTTGCGGGAACGCCGTACTGGATGGCACCAGAGGTTATTACGGACGAAAGTGGATACGATCCTTTTAAGGCCGACATATGGTCTGCTGGCTGCACCGTGGCTGAGATGATAACAGGTCGCCCACCATGGATGCCAATGGCCAATGTGATGCACATTATGAACAAACTCGCAATGTCTTCTGGGTGGCCCGATGCGGTTCCAAAAGATCCGGCGGCGTTGGGGTCTCAGCATGCCTATGACTTCCTAGATCTTTGCTTCAAGCGCAATGTTGCCGAGCGACCTGATGCCACAACATTACTGAAACA